GCCCGTGATTCCCCGCCGCTGCGCTACCCTGGCCTTTTCACCGTGGGCCAGGTCCATCAGCCCTGTTCCTCAGGGCATTTGCTTCCTTGCTCTCACATCAGAAGAACTCAGAGATGAGCCACCCAGGGATCTACACTGTAGTGTCTAGATTTTGACCAGAAAACCTCAGATTTTGGATACGGGCACTCTGTCAGTGTTGGCAGAGCGAGAGGCTTTGGAACAGAGACAAACTGTGACAGCGACACAGGAGCAACTTCCATTCAGCCAAGGAAATACCGGGGCTGGAACTTTACAAAGAAAAATGCCCCCTTCTGCCTGGGAAAAGGCATCTTAAGGTGGGAGTGCTCTGTTCCGAGAGGCCTCGGTGTCAGCGAGAATCCAGCTAATCCAGGCGCTTGCAATTTTTCAGATTAACAAGGTTTTACATTAAGGAAAAGAACGTTTCCTGAAACTCAAACCAAAGCTCAGTGGAAGTCACGGTTTTGGTATTCGAAACCTGCAAATGTTTCCCAAAGCTCACTACGCCCCGTCAGCCTCGCTTTTTCAGACATTTACGGACTCTTAACGCGCCAAGGACGTTGTTATCTGCGGGGTTAGCCCATCTGCCCCAGCCCGTGCCCAGGATGGGGGACGATATTCAGCCAGTACCTCCCAGAGTCATCCCAGCTTCGTAGCACTTGCGCAGGCGGCAGGACGGGCAGTTTTTCCTCCTGAATTTGTCGATGGTGCAGTCGTTCCGGCTGGCACAGAGGTACTTCTGTTTACCTGCAAACATCAGAGGAAACGGCAGATGGGTGGCGGGTACCGATCAGACCAGGTTTACAGGGAGAAAGGGGCTCACGCTGTCTAGAAGTCACCAGCATCACTAGAGGAGAGGGAGAGGGAGACCGTATCCATGCTGGTTTCCCAGTTCACACACACACACACACCCCCCTGCAGAAAATTTATGTTGGAAGTTGGTATCTTTTGGGGAAACAGCGCAGCTCTTCCTCTGCCGCTGCCAGAGGTGCACGCTCTGCACGAGAGCTGGCTGCCCGAAAGGCAGAGCCGGTCCCTGCTGTATCCCCAGACGTCAGCACCCCTCTCCTCTGCCAGCCCCCCCGCGCCAGCCAGCCCGGCTCCCCCTTGCCCCCGCACGTCAGAGCCTTTACACCAAGATCTGCAAGGAGAAAAATCACTGCACGGTGCAGCAGGGCAGCGGCAGTCGCCAGCTAGCAGTTAGGAAGTCATGGGACAGGGACAGTTTGGCTCTCGCTTTTTAAACGTCACACAGCTATTGCTCGCCTTTTCCCTGTGACGAGCTGGTTTTCTCCCAGAACACCTTCAAAACCCAGCTTGATCCTCCCACCACGGCACTTACCTGCAGTTTGCTGAACACGTTCCCCAGACAGCAGCCTCCCCTCTACAACCGCAGCTCTCTTTACAGCGCTTTTGGGGCTGAATCGTATTTTGTGCCACCCTTTACTAACAGGGTTTGTGCTGCAGGTTCCA